TCGTGCAACCCTGTCGCTGAAAATGCGCTGCGTGGTACTCAGCAACTGAGAGCTTGGGCTGCGCTTCCCATGAAGCCTCGGAAGCTCTGTCCGGAGTTTCACCGCGTGCAGGAGACAAAGATGGGCTCTGTCAGCGGGTGTTCTCGGAACCAGCGAGGCTAGGTGTCTTTCGAGTCATGAACACAATGCTCATTTAGCAGTGATTTCGTGACGAAGGTTCTGGTGATGTTGTGGTGTCTTAGCCACGCGAGCCTCGTTCGAGGCGACAGTTGAATGTACACTATAGGTGTTCATAATTTTGATGTGGAGAGTGTAACGGTGTTTCACGTGCCCTGGTATGAAGGGTGTAGGTTACACAGGATGGTGTGACCGCGCAATGGTATGGCTACACTTAAATAAGAAGTCAATACGTGGATGGAACAGCCGGTAGTTATTCATTTAATTAGGTTTTACTACAAAGGTAGAAAGCCTATCAATTTAGATTGAGGCGGCTTTCCCGCAAATAAAATCGGTACATACAGTTTATATTCTAAATGGAAGAGTTAATTAGCCTTGTGTTAAGGTTGTAAATACTCTTGAAGTAAGCGGGTTGCGATCCGCTATACTCGTACTGGTTCTATGTATAGAACAAAGGTCAATGATCTATATCAAGCTCCCTCTAAGCAAAGGAGCCACGGCAGTCCCGCTGCATAATCCTTCACGGAGAGTATGGGTTTCTTCACCCGCTGCTGCTCTAAGCGAAAGTACTTCGATGGGATAGTACCTATGGGCTGAAAAGTGCTCACAGAGCCACTTTCTCGTACTCGTTCAGCGCTTGCTAAAAGTGAAAGATTCACATTAGCGGGGCTAGAGACTTAACACAGCTCAGAACCTACATTAGGGCAGTGATTTTTGTGCTTGCAGTAGAGAAAGCTGGACACCTTGATCCAAATCCAGCTTAACTGGCCATTGTCGTTAGTTGTGCCAAACACCCGACGAATAAAAAGGGTACGGGGCTCAAGACTTTGGTATGATCAAAATCAGCGTCAAACGTCATGGCAACGTCTCCACTTTGCGAGAATCCCGACAAAAATGGTATTTTTGTCGGTGTACTAACAGCATTGTCGTTCCATTCACATTAAATCCATGACGATATAAGTCACCCATAGAAGGTGATAAAAGTGTCAGATCAAAGCAACCTCACTCTGGTGATGCTAGAAATATCGTTAGATCTTGATATGTGATTTAAAGCTCGAGATTGTGAACTACTTCCTTCATATCAGTGTCAAACGTTTAAAACAAAATTTTGACATCAATTTCATCTTGTTCACGTAAGGCGAATAGAAATCTGACAAAAAGTGTTGGAAATGGCAATAAGTAGTTGCGACCTTCTTCACGCTTGTCAAGGACTGGACAATGGCTTATTTGCTGAAATTGATCTGTCGGGTTACGTTGTTTCTCATGTGGGAAATAAAGTTGTTGCATCACTTCTGTAATAGAATGTTGCACAGCATACCTCGAAGGATTTTTACACCAATGAAAGCCGACCGCAACGCAGTACGTTGCGTCATGATAACCTCGCTTGTAGCCTTGACCTGGTCTTGGGTACGATTTGTGACTATCCATACGATTGGTACGGATAAGTGTCATCAACGAATTGCTTATAGGTTACGAGATGGGGAGGAGATGTTGACTTAGGCGAATCGATTGAAGCAGCAGTTAAGCTTAACGGTGAACAGGAGTCGATACCTATCCTCTCGCTTAACCCACTAAGTTATACCGCTCTCAATACATTATGTAGTGACATCATGCAGCAAGCTAGCTTCCAAGATGTTTGTTGGACAGCTAAAAGACGTAACAAAATGTTAGCAGTTTTTTGGGATGATCTATTTTCATATTACAAGCAAGCAATTAAGCAAGTTTTCCGATATACTATGGCACACCAACATATGCCATTGAGTTCCAAGCAGTAAAAAAAAACTCTCGATTGCAAAATTTCTCAGATGCTGACTGGGCAGAAGACGTTGCACTTTGAAGAAGCAATCAATTCATGTTTGTGATGATAAGCTAAAGTGTCAACTGGAAGAGCAAGAAGCAAAGAACTATTATCTACTGAAGCTGAGTACATACCACTTTCAAAAGCTACGCAAAGGCAAATTGCTTTAAAGCTTTTTATGTGCTTGGCAGGACGTCTTAAGATGAAGCTGTAAGATCTCTAGAGGACAACTAAGGTGTTTTCGCGCTGGCCAAGAAGCTGAAATACAACCACACAGACAAACCACACTGATCGTTGCTATTACTTCGATCACGAAGATGTCGGAGATCGCCAAGTCGTGCTTGATTATGTCTCCACTGTAGGCATGCATGCCAACATAATAACAGAAATAATACTGTCCATGAAATCCTCGCGAGTGGGAGTGTTGACAAAAAGGCTTTTCAGCAGCAGACGCACGATGAGCTTCAAGAAATGCTAACGTTCCTCAGACAAGTGTTAAGTTTTTTAATTTAGTGGCGTGAATACATCCAGTTCATATTAAGTCCGAAATCTAGCAAAATATATGGCATAATACTCTCCAAAAACACGGCAGGCTTAGATGTCGCACAACAAAGCGAACTCAAAGCCTTAAAATATAGACTTTGGATTTTGTTAATTGGTGCTCGAGTACATCTTCATTGACTTGCTTGAGCACTAAAGTCCCCTACATAAGCGCCTGATAGATATTGTTTCGATCCCGTTGAGCGCGTTCCATCAGGTCATATACCTGCGTGAGTGTAATATGACACCAGACGTTATAAGCTAAGCTCTTCATGAATTTGCTGTAAACAACAAACCTTGATCCAAAACAGTGGCTACCGCTAAGCCATTTTGGCAAAAATTTTGTTGAGGAACATCTTGACCAATATTTCACAACCATCAGCGCTGTTTGTGGCATCAAATTTGTCAATTTGCTCAGGCGAACATACTTCCAATTTCACCTCATATATACCAACATTGTGCACAAACCAACAGACTCACAGTAGATGCCAACACGTGTGGCGAGGTGTTAACCCGTTTGCACGTTTCACACGTGCGGGCATAGGTACTTGCCCGTTCTACAGGCCGGGTCACCAGTACATAGCACTCATCGAGACATAATCTTCTCACATTCAGTGTCAAGTGGGTCATGCTGCGATACAGCAGGCCTTGGAAATATTACGCCGCAATCGTGCAATCGCGCGCTTCGATAACGCGTAACTTAAGTCTGCAAATTCTTTCAATTCAAACTCTTAGCAATGCAATACATAATTCATTTTATCCATATACTTTGAGCATTGTCTTATCTATGCCTGACACCGCCGTCTCGGCAGCTCATAGTCGGACAACACGAAGCACATCCGCAAGACGCGTTATATGCTGTTCACCAAAGGTCTGCTCGCCTATGATAGATAATATTATTTCTTTTGTGACATAGTCGCTGAGCGCAACGACGTGTGTATATGTATGGATCACAATTAGTTTGGAGCCAAGCGCGTGCCGCCTGATCTTGGCAAGAGCATACTTCACAATGAGCAGCTCCTTATAATTAACGAATTTTTTTCTACCGTTTTATGTTAGCGAGGGTAAATCCAACGACGCATTTAGGACCATTTTTTCAGCCCAACCTATGGTAAAGGATGAAGCGTCACAGACAACATGCACAACCTATGGTAAAGGCTGAAGTGTCACAGACATCATGGCCGATACGAATTCGAAAAAGCCAGAGTCGAAACTTTTTTCACAGCCTTCAAGATCGTCTCTTTCGGTGCGATAGAGAGCTTTTCCGACGCCAAATATACACAGTGTACATTGGGAAGTAGCTTGTCTCGCGCAAACACTTGAATACTATTCGTAAGTATACAACGTGGATCTTCAGATCCAGATCCCTGTATTCTGCACGACTATGGACGAATTTATCTCTGCAGCCTGTTTTGGCACGATGTGGTCGTCACCAGCTGCGATACTATACAAATAAGCGTCGCTGATGCGCTTAAATATCCTTGAGGCATAACAAACCATTTTCAGAGCATCCCACTACCGCAGGGATAGAGTTTCAAAACCTCAAACAAGCAATTAATTTTGATTATCAAGTAGATCAGAAGCACTAATAAATACGAAACTGATTCCGGCCGCACATACTTACGAAAAATAGGCGTTTGCGCGGGAATTTAGCTCGTCATTAGCACGCGCAATTCGCACTTGCCGTTGCACGGAAAGTCACAGCGCTCCTTAAGTATGGGCCGTTGTTGTGTAATACATAATTTGATTCCAAGAAACGCCTTTTTTTATAATGCACTTACGCTTGCTAGGTGTCGTGATATCTTATTAACAGCGTAATGAATAGAGGTGAATTCAGGCGCTCCTGGATACGTCTCACCAGCTCATTATCATAAGTGTCAAAGCGAGGAATTACCCCATCCGGTCGTTTGATCGTCAATTCTTGGTCCCGCCAGGACTAAAGATCGACATAGAGGGTATATTAATTTCGAGTGATAGGCATCGGTAACAGAAGCAAACCCTTAAAGCCTCTATCGTGATTAGATGAAAAGTTAGCGCAGCACATTTCAATAGTACGTCTATCTAAAGTTTATGTTCCTCGATATAATATGTATTTAGATGTTTTGCAATCTCTAATAGTATACCTATCTTGATTGTTTGACATACGGCTGGCAGCCCACGTGTACTACCGACCTCTTCTTTTCAAAATTCCATCATCTACGTGAGCACCAATATTTTTTATTTCATACAATTATACTAAGTGAGTTGATACAATATTACCACCAGGTTATAGTAAAGTAGACAGTTAAGCCGACATACTTTTTACTAGAAAATTCTAGCGTCTTTTATGGTGCAAACAGCATGAGCATGTTCATGAGATCAGGTTCCAAGTACGCTGAGCTTCTTTCGTGGGAAATGTCAAATTTAAACATGATGTCTTTCTGAGGAATGTGTTGAGGTAGCAAAAATTATCATCCGCAGAAATATGTTTTATCAGTATTAAGTCTTTACTAATCAAACTGTGATGAATGGGTTTGTACTCGCTTACAGGTATAATGATCATAACTCAGTTCCAATTCATACTAAACTGCAGAAGGTCTTCTGTAGCAAAAGCACATTTTGATCTTAAGAAATGCGGCTCAGATGCGCTCGACAAGCTCTGAGTGTGTGCATCCCAACCAAGTCGTGTCGGGTTGAAGTTAAATTCGGCATTCAATGCCACGTTTGCCGCCCTTTCAAGAGAAGACGGATGCACGCGGAAGACTCCCATTCTGGCCACGCCAGTACGAAGGCCCTCCATAAAGGCGGTCACTACAACCGCCTCGGGGAGAGGATCTGCTGTCATCCCGGCAAAAAGAGTTCTCAACTACATGGACAAGGTCCACCAACTCCTTCTTGCCCTGTCGGGCAGCAAGGAAATGCAATCTCACGCGATACGCCTGGTTAGGCGGCAAGATCACTCGCAGAAACTGACGCTTCAGCTCCTTCTAGAAGGGGAACGCAGCTCCAACCGAAGCACCAAACGTTAGTGCCTTTTCTCGTGTCTGGCACCCGAGCTTGGAGATAGCTAGCGCCACGCGCTGTTGCTTGTTTTGGAGCATGGTGAATGCCATATCCATTTCGGCCTCTCTCACCCAGAAAAGGAGCTTCTATCCCTCCTTACCCTCAAAGGTCATAACGCTCACCATGAGCGGCCTCGGTCGGAATAAATCATTCGTTGCCGACGATGGCGTCATAAACGCAGTCGACGCTGACAGCTTCTGTTGTAAGTGCTCTAGCAAAGCATTTTCATAGTTTGAAAACGACTCTAGGCCCGCGTCAATGTCCCCGGGTCCTTGCGCAACGAGGTGCTTCACGCCTCAGTGCCCAGGAGGGGCATCAGCTTATTAAGCCCGTCCTGCATGCCCTGGGCAAATAGAAGTATTCTTCCATTCTCACAGAGAGAAGTCGTAACGACTCAGGCGTAGATTGACTAGAATGCTACCAAGTGCAGCGGGGCAGCCGCAGCTCTTTGCTTAGAGGGATAAGCTAAGGTCACCGACCTATCATTCTTTCCAGGTACCAGTACAAGGGTAGCAAATCGCTATCCGCTACTTTTAAGAACTAAAGCCTTACCAAGGCAAACGGACACTTTTGTACAAGAACAAAACTGCATTTGCGGCAGAGCCTAAGACCCTAGGTTTTCCTAATCACTATACTAATACCTAATAACTATATTAATACCTCATTAATGTAGCATAACCTAATTAATATAATAATATGAGCTACTACTGGCAACCCTGCTACGTAGGTTTGTAGCCACATCACTGTGTCATTACACTAACTGTGTAATACACACCTATGTATGGTCGCACAAGAAAGGCGCAGAATCATTCGGCGAGAGTCTTAGTGTAACGGGGTTACACGAACCCTGATAACAGGGGTGTGTCACACGAGATGTGCATGGTGTGGCCACACCCAAACAAGAATACGGTACGGGGCTAGGTAGCCAGTAGATATGCATGTATTT